GATGGTGGTGTCACATCATTCATCAGTTTTACAATAGCCCTGGCCTTTGTCAACATTTCCTAAAGGAAAAATCAAAAGGCAACAAAAACAAAGAGCCACAAATGAACAAAACTGGAAACAGGTTAAGACCTCCTTGAAGACTTGTGAGACTGAATCTTTTTTGCTTCAAAAGACAGTCTCTCAGTCAGGTGTTCTCTGGAGAATTCTGCCTGCCGTGACTCTTTTTTCACATCTGCTGCTCCAATTTTGTTCACCTTTTCCCAGAATGGAAAATTTCCTAATTCCTTAATGTCTTTCCGAATTTTTAATACCAGCTCACAGAAGTAAGCCCAGAAATTGTGTCAGCATGATTTTTTGTTTTAACATTTTTCATTAGCTAGAAATAGAAGAAGAGGTTTTACTACAGATATATTCATTTTGGACTCGTAAAAAAATGCAGGTAGATGAAAATCTGTTATGCTTAGTGTTGAACAATGCCTTTATTACTCATTTTGCTGGCAGATTATTTAGATTCTATTGAATTCCTTTGGCTGATGTCTTTCTTAATATGTGAGGGATGTATAATGCATCCCTTATCATTGACTTGCATGTGTGACATGACTTATATGCTAAAACCCAGTAGTTTAGTCTTATTTCATGTTCTCTTGCCATACTATTCATCGGTTAAATAAAAACCTGCCTAAGCCGATACTACCTGTCAGAGAATTTTTATATTCTAAAGTCTCCCTTCATATAATATGTTTTGCATAGGGGTGAGATATTCCCTTGAGCTTCTGCTTTTGTCTTGTTAACACTGTCCTTGATGTTTTTTCCTACATTGTTAATTTAGGCATGTGGCTCACCGATTTTTTCCCGCAGGCAAATTATGAGATTTGTTAGTTTTATTCTTTGTTTTGAAACCTTGGCTTTGTGAGAGTGAGACAGTGAGACTTACAGTTTAACTTGTTGGTGGCTGCAGATTAGTAGGTTTATTGCTATAAATGTAAGAAATTCTGGCAGCATTGAACGGATTTATTTATTTTTTCCCCTCCAAAAATCCTTTCAGAATTGGTAAACTGAGCTAATAGCATGGGGAGAACTGGGTTTGGGGAAGTTGATCTCTATCCTTTATGGGTCTGCCACAAAAGTGGGAAGGGTTGTCCTAAACAAATTATGCTTTCCAGTGTTCCTCACTGTATTAGCAAGATTTGTCGCAGAATGCTTTGCTTTTGAGCTTTCTACTGCTCGGATTTTGATAATGTGAGAGTTTCTGCCTTCAACTTAGAGAAAGTCACATCAATATCTAGGTTAATGTTTAGTAGAGGCCAGTTGGATTTTCATTCTGAATTGTTTGAAATCAGTTCTCTCTGACAATATTGTTTGGCAGTTTTTCATATTTCTTTTAAATTTTAATTATAACCTATCAAGTCTTAAGCAATTACTTCTTGGTTAGGTTCTTGATGAATGTCATAGCAGGGTGTTTTAATTTAATGAATCCAAAATAACATCTGTTTCTAATATTTTAAAAGCCAATTTATATGGAAATTTATTTAATACACAGTCAATACACGGAGACTTGTAAAAATCAAAATCAAATGGAAAATCAAATCACTGTGATATAGTAGGTCTTCTGTTAACAAAGAATTTCACTTATTACTAGGTTCAGCTGCCACCAACACTCAAACCTTCACAGTTTCAACAAGACAGCGATTTATTTCTCATGTTCATAAATGGGGATGTAGTTAGCCCAGGGCTGGTGTGGTATACTGTGACAGGGACTCATTTCCTTCAGTTTTACTACTCAGCTCTTTGTGGGTGTGATTTTTTTTTTATGCCTAAGAACACACTGAATGGGCCAAGATAGCTTTTTGAATGCTAGCACCTATTCCATCTTTGCTCCAGTAGGAAGGAGGTAGGGGTAGAAGAGAAGATGCTAAGCTTTATCATTTTAAGTACACTTTCTGAAAGTAGTACATAGCATTTTGCTTGTGTTCCACTGACCAAAAATTAGTCACATGATTATATTGAGCAGCAAGGGAAAAAAGGAAATACAGCCACTTTCCCAGATAACCAAGTACACAGAGAAGAACTGAAGGTTTATGGCTATGGAAAAACTGTCAAATAGATATTGGAAAACAGCAAACTATCCCTGCCACATTGTTTTTTAAGACATTATTTTAGCAGACCTTCTGTCTTTTTATTGATCATATGGAAAACTAACATGGTTTTCAGCACTGAGTAGAAATCATCAACTATCCGCCAATCTATTTTAATTCTAACTCCCAACAGCAGTTAATTTTGTATGTTGTGAGTCAAACCGACTTTAATAAGGGAGTTTTTGTAGCTCATACTTCAGTCTTTGTAGAACAACAATAGCAGCTAACAAGGCTGAAATGTCATTTGCACTGGGTCTCTGGAACAGTCTTGTATTATTCGCAAGGCAGTGTTCATTGCTTCTGTACATATGGAAGATGAATGAACAATTGCGAGTGTTTGTTAAATGATTTCCATCCAAGGTAAAACTATTATCATCACAGAAACCTAAGCTCAGACAGGTTAATTGGGAAGCAAATTAGAGAAGCAGTTGAAAACCAGCTTTGCCCAAATCATTTAATCCCAATTGGGATACTAACTGCTACTTCCAATGACTGTGTCGCCTTAAATGGGTTTTTGAATCTGTTTGCATCTCTGTTACATTTTCTTGTTTTTGAAGACACTCAGCAGATTATAGAGCTGGGACTCAGGAATATTTCCCCTCCTTGATCTTTGGTAATCATATGTAAATTTCCTTTGTTCAAGTCTCCTTACAGTGGAAGCAAAACTGGTGGAAGGGTTGGAAGTAAAGATTGTAGGGCCAGTCTCCCATCCTGTGTTCTTCTGATCCACCAATGTCTATACTCCCTTAAAGCCCCCTGCATTAGACTAAGCAAGAGATTTCTAGTTACAGAATAGGTGCCTTCAGTTTCTCATTCATATTTCCTCTGTGTAACTCAGGATGGGCATCTTTTGTGCTCTAATTATAGAGCTAGATGCAGTAGGGTTGCAAAAGACTCAAGTTGCCACTATTTTGCTGGAATGTATAATGACACAGATCAGGAAATTCTCCAAACTTAGTCATTTACATGCCACTTCAAAAAGTGTACTGTGTCCACATATACCAGTACTGTTGATTTCTTAATATTGTGTTTACATTGATTTTTAAATTTTTAAAAGCTTCATTCTGAGCAACCATCTCTAAAATCTAGCTCTGATGTGATAATTAAATTTCTTTTCAAGTACAAGGTTTGTGCATCTTTTCACATACACCCTGAGTATTGTAGATCCTATTTTGAGAAGGCCACCATAGTGGAAACATCGTGGGCCATGAAAATTCTACGCTGCTATTTCTATCTTTTGTGCCTTTGAAACTGTTATAAATTAATTCCAGATATGCATGAGTAATGCATTTATCAATGGATGATTCAGGCATGCAAGCCTAAAACTATCAATTCTCAAAAGCAGGAGACAATGAAATGCCATAAATGATTGCCGTAGATATCACTAAGGCCTCTGAGAGTTCAGCAAGGGGAGAAGAGGCTGATGTTTTCTAAGATGAAGAGGGAGGCAGATATATATTTTTAAATTTTTTTAAAGATTTATTTATTATACAAGCAATGGGTACAGTCAGAAGCTCGGGAGGGTGAGAGAATTCACCAGAGCCAGAGCGGGGAACAGAACAGGCAAACCCAAACACACTGCTGAGGGGAGCAGCAGGAGGCAGGAGAGGTCTGCAAGCGCCATGTGGGACCCTCGCCAGCGGCCAGGGATCGAACTGACGCTGCAGAGGCTCCGGGCAGCTTCACAGCTCAGTGCTCAACTGCTGCGCCACCAGGGGAGGCCCTCTATTTTTAAATTTTTAAATTTTATTTTTAATCAAAGTAATGTACTTATCTTAAAATGCTAACCTCACTGAAAATAACAGTGTGAGCTTCTAACCCCCCTTAACTCAGTCTCTTTTTATAGAACAGTGACTTTTAATTTTACTGTTTCCTCTAGCATTCCAATCCATATATATATATATATATTAATATATTATATATATATAATTAATTATTAATAAAACATGTATAATAAATAATTAATAATTAATAATAATTAATAATTAATAATAAATAATTAATAAATATATATAATAAATAATTAATAAATATATATATAATAAATATATATATAATGTATATATATATATATATACATGTTTTATTAATGATGTGCCATTATTTTATGTCGTCATTTCTTGTTCACAGTATAGATTTTCTTCGGGAAGGAAATATTTGGATAGGTATGGTGCCATTCTTTTCCACCCCTCCAGCTCTCTAAGCCCTTGCTACTCAAAGTGTCCTCTAAGGACCAGAAGTGTTACCATTACCTGGGAGTTTTTAGCAATATGGAATCTCCTTCCCACTTCTACTGAATGAGAACCAGCATTTTAACAAGATCTCCAGGTGTTTTGTATATATGAGACCATGGTTGAGGGTCAGGATGTTCTGTCTAAAATTTATGTCTAGTAGAAAGCAACTCCTCAGTATCTCTTGCATAACTATCCCCCAGGACTGTGCTTTTTAAAATGCGAGATTATCAGTCCTCACTTCTACCTGTTACCTGGAATCTGCATTTTCAGCTAGTTGAGCACATGATTTTTGGTGCAGTTATTTGCCAACTGCTGTATTAAGGCTTCAATAACTGATGGAAACTCTGCATTTATTCTTCAAAGGTTTTGCATTTAAACATGGAAGAAATCTTTTGAAGAAAATAACTACAACCCTAATTGTGGTGTTAGTAAGCATTAAGAGGAGGATTTGAATTCAATCTATATGTAAAGCCTTCTCTGAGGCTCATTTGCATTACTAGTGTATACCTGGAATCCCATCCTAAAGCCACATCATGAAGCTTCTGAGGAGAGCAGCATCTTAGCAATGTCATCTATTTTATTGTCTTTCTGTATTTTACGTTTGATTCTTTTTTAATATTTTGTTTTATAGCCGTGCTATCAAGACTAATCAGGACCTCCTCCCAGAAACTCCATGGACACATATCTTCTACAATGATTTTTGGGGGACTCTTCTAACCCACAGTGGCAGCCACAAGTCCTACCGGCCACTCTGCACGCTTTCTTTTCGCCTGAACCACGCCATCGGAGGGCTGAATCCCTGGAGCTACCACCTTGTCAATGTCCTGTTGCATGCGGCAGTCACTGGCCTCTTCACCAGCTTCTCCAAGATACTGCTTGGGGACGGATACTGGACCTTCATGGCTGGCTTGATGTTCGCCTCTCACCCCATTCACACTGAGGCAGTGGCAGGAATTGTGGGACGGGCTGATGTTGGGGCCAGTCTCTTCTTTCTCCTCTCCTTGCTCTGCTACATTAAACACTGTTCTACAAGAGGCTACTCAGTCAGAACCTGGGGCTGGTTCCTGGGGACGGGACTGTGTGCAGGATGCAGCATGTTGTGGAAGGAACAAGGAGTGACTGTTCTCGCAGTTTCTGCAGTTTATGACGTCTTTGTCTTTCACAGGCTGAAAATGAAACAGATCTTGCCTACCATTTACAAAGTAAGTGATTGTTGGTGCTCCAGCATTGGATTACTGAGTAATCTCCTTGCTTGGTCCTTACTCACCGTTTAAAAAACAAATTTTGTCCTGTTCAAAGAGAATTTAAAATAAGTTACTTTTTGATGTTTGGTAAGTGGAAGTGTCCTTCCTGACCTTTCCTTTCGACCCCGGGTTTCTGTAGCATATTGTTTTATTTCTCAGATTTCTTAACTTAGTTTCATGACTTAAAAGGTCATAGAAGAACAATTTTGCCGTGTAAAGAAAATGCATCTTTACTGTTAGTTTATAGTCATTATAGTCTTTCTTTGCATTCAAATTCTCCCCCCATCCAATAAATTGCCTATTATGTATATTTATAAAAATAGCACAGCAGATGATAGAGCTGGATGCTACACTCTAGCGAGGGGAAATCCTCTGCTGCTCACTAATACTGCCTTTCCTGAGTTGACTTTGGAAAGCAACCCTTCTCTGCAGTGCACTGGGAACTCAAATTCTTAAACAATGAATCATATTCACCTTTTCTTTGTTGTAGTGGATAAGAATAGAAGAGTCAAAACAGAAGGTACTTATAATAGGTTTGCCCTGAGGCCAATTAAGACCTTTGCCTCAGGGCTTAATATTTATTCTTCTGGATTCCCTTAGAGATTTCAAATGCAATGTTGTTTGAAGGTCACAGAAGCGTTTGCAGTTCCCATATATTTTTACAGCACTGAGCGGTTTTCTGCTTAAGTGTTAAAGGGAGACTTTGGGTGGCAAAGAACATCTTGTGGATCTTTCTGCTCATCCCCCATCCTTTTTCCTTCACGGTAAACTCAGCGTTGACTTGCCTTGAAGTATAAAAACTGAACTTGGCCAAGACTTACACCCCTCAGCTTTCCTTTCCTTTTGGACATATAAGTAAGGAATTATGGTTTGATAGTGACCTTGAGAAAATGGTCAGGTTTTCTAGTTTTTGACTACTTTCCATCTCTAGCCCCTTCTCAGTTTTACTTAACATCAACTTGAGAAGAAATTAAAGGAAAATTTGAGGGAAATAGAGACAAAAACTTTTTTAATGATTTTTTTTTTTCACTTAGTAGGGAGAGTAATTACTGCTGAGATTCTGTTCTTCAGGGAACATAATCTTTGCTAAAACTCAAGTGTCTAGAGCTAGATGAAGTTCTTTTGTGATTTCAGCTATAGGCTGAGACTTTTAAAGAAATATCTGATTAGAGTTTGATGTATGAAAACAACATATGGTTTGAAAGTCAAATCTTAACGTCAAATCAATTTTAATTATTCTTTCTAGGAGACTTAGGGGAGAATAATCTTTTTTCTTTTCAAACCATGTTGTCGGCAATAGAAATCTTTCTTTTACTTGAAACACAAAAAGAATAAATATAAATTATGGTCCTTATCCTATGGTTGTTGAGACATTTGAGAATTCAGACTAGGCATTTCAAGACCATGCTTTGTAAGCCTGTGAAATGTTATGCATTCTTATATAGAATTTTCATTTTGTTTTCTCATGGTTAGGAAATTATTTTGATATGTCAATTCAGGTCTTGATTTTAATGAAGTTCTGTTCTGAGAAATTTTCAATTTTCTAAGCATATGTTCAAGGACAGAGTTGTCAACAAAACTCCTTATTTTAAATACATTTTATATAATATTTGGGAGACACTTATAGACAGCTAGTCTTTGTTTATATGAAATTTAACTGAATATGATGTATTTTTATCTGGACCATTACTTACATAACTGCTGCTTTGGAAAATGAGAAATGCCAGTAGCAAAGGAAACTCCTAAGGGTAGAAAGTGTGAAGTACCCCATGATATGGGAAAGGACTTGTTATTTTGAAGGTTCAATGTCCTGAGAAGTTTCCAAGTGGAAACTTGCCCAGACTCTCTGGCAAACACCACTTGCAGAGCCAGACAAGGATTGTAATGAGTGGCAGCAAAACCCATAGTTCTTTCTCAACTTAGAGCTTTCTTTCATTCTCAGGTTTTGGTCCAGTGAGCTTAATGAGGACAGTGGGATAACAGATTTTATAAATGTGTAAGGAACCAGAGAGGCCATCTGTGCTAGTCCCCTTATTTTCAGCTGAGGTGTAGAGAACCAGAGTTGAAGGTCACCCAGGAAATGGTAGACTCGCTTGCTAGGACTGGAACACATATTTGTGTCTGTCTGGTGATCTTTTTACCACATTGTGAAGGTGTGAAGATGAATAAACAGATGTAAAGTCAGATGACTGGGCTGGGGATGTGGGGGAGAGGAATTTTTCCTTCTTCTAGGTTCTTTTGCTGGTATAATAAGTACATTGACATGTGGCATCAACAAGGAAAATGAAAAAAAAAGAATAAGAAACTAAGTGTACCTATGGGAAGCTAAAGATGTCAGACTTAAGGATAAGTTAGACAATTAAAGCTTATATACAATGCTGAGTTAAGGAATAGAATAGGAATTTTGGACTTCAGAGGGATGTAGGGCAACTCACAGGATAAGAAGAGCAGATATTTGCAGTCAGGATGGTAAGGCTTTAAGATAAAAAGTTTTCTCTGGCAATAGCTTTCTTTCTATGCCAGGTTCCCTATCTAAATTACTTTAGGCAGTTATGGAGAGGTAAGAGTTTTTCCTGAATCTTCTGGTTCTTTCTTGTCTTCAACTCTAACTCTTGTACCAAAGTGACACATTTTTGGTGGCATATTCTACCAAAGTAGATACGATAGAAAATAAAATAATGTTGAATAGGCTCTTAACTTGCACTGACCGAGTAACCTGGGCTATTTGATTGACTTGGTTCTTTTTCCTGACAAAAGAGATGGTAACTGTTCTCTCCTAGGAATTTTGTGACAATTATATGAAACTGTGGGGTGGTAAGTATGAGCTGGGTGCTGAGTTTGAAAGGCAATTAATTTGTGTTAGTTGAAGGTAAAGAAAAAAATATTGATAGAGATTATAATCTTTATCTTAAGAAAAGAAGGCCAAAAGATAAACCTGTGGTAGTTTTTAAATATGTGGTTGCAAAGCATATAAATTAGGAAGCAACTCAAACTGAAGCAGGCATATGTAAGCACCAACTTTCATATAGAATCCCATGACTGTGACCCTTGTAAACACTGGCATAGTTTACATATGGAAGTTATAGAAAATTCCATATTCTGTCTTTAAAATATATAGATTTCTATGCCTGGGGAAAGTTAGAGAAGGCTCTGAAGAAAGTGGATTAAAAGACTTCAGAAGGCCCCTTTTAACCTTAAATGAATAATCAGCTTAAATATCTCACCAATTACCTCTGCATCATAGTTATCATGGTTTGCCAGATGAAATAAACTTCCTTGTCCTACAAAACATAACATATATAAACAGAAAACTCCAGAGCACAAATGTTTAACTCTATTATGCAAATAAGAGAACAAACCAGATACTCAAAACCTAAAAATGGTAGACATTTTAAAACTGGAAATTATTAGGTACAGGGCAAGACTCTGCATTTTTTTCTGTAAGTCACATCAGATCCTGACCCCAAACACAAATATGTACCAGAACCAGGCCGAAAGGACTGGAGTAAACTACAGGTTGTATCCTACTGCCACACCCCCATTATTGCAATAGAAAGATACAGGTGATAATTTGGTAAAGCTTAAGAATTTTCTAAGGAATCTAGAGTTTTCTATGATATCTGTTTTTTAATACTTCTCCTAATTTAAAAACAAATAAGCAACCCTCTTTGAGTCAGACAAAATTCTCGTGGTGGCTCAATGTAGCCAGAATTCTTGGTTGCCATTTTTTTACTTCTATTCTAAAACTCAAGCAAATGATGGACACATCAATATTATGTATAAGGTTTTTGCAATTCTGCAAAGGAAATAGGAAAACTAGATTTTTCTTTGATGAATGTATGAAATTTGTAAATACCTGGCACATAATAGATATGTAGTATTTGACAAAAACATATAGTTTATATCTGCTGAATTTGCTAAAAATATATTAACACATTCAACTTAATAAATGCTTAGTGAGAGAGTAATATGACTCATGGAGCAAAATGTTGAATATGATATGAAAATTATATTGTTTCAGTATTTGAAATAATATTGTCGATAGGTTTCTGGTAGTTGGAAGATTTTTAAGAAAACACTAAATATAAAAGTTAAATATGTGCATGAGCAAAATAAATGTTCAGATCTATGTTTAAATTTCTTAACAAGTGTTCCTAGGTTTTATCTTCAGTTTCTGTTTAACATATTTCCCCCAATATCCTTGTCATCTAGTGCACCATCTGGCACATAGTAGGCACTTAGTAAATTGGATTCACACTTGTTTAAGTTTTACCCTTTAAAACAATGTGCCTGAAATATTAAAGTTAAATCCTACACTGTTCCTTTCTACAAGGAGGACGTCATTCCTAGTTAGTGAGGCCTGGAAGGTGGAATTGGAAGAAAGAAGGTCATGTCAAAAAAATGTTGAAAATAGGTTTTTTGACCTTTTACCCAATGATTATTTTAGCCTTCCATATATGACTTTCACTTAGTTTTATGTGGTCCAAAAGTAAGGGCAAAGGGAACCTTTGACATACACTTAAACTAGGCTTGCAAATAAATGCTAGACTTTTATCTGCCCACAAAACTTTTTACAAGTCTCCCATGACCCCAGGAGGTACATGGGTAATAAAATCAGTAAAAGCAACATTTTTCTTACTTACCCAACATCAGTCATTGCTGGCCTCCTGGCCATTTTCTGTGCTTATTTAACATCTGTTAACTGTTTTAATGTGGAAACATCTCTCTACCCACCCCCTTTATTAGGCTCATAATCACTCATTCAATCACAGGTGGAAAAATTTTTAAAAAGAAGTCAAATTCAGAGTAGCAACTCTAATAATAGCATAAGATAATTAGGAAAAATGAAGTGCTTTTAGTTTGATTTTTAAGAGTTTCTCTAAAGATGACTACCTTTGTTTTATTGTAATGGCTTCCAAGAAATGCATTATCTGGACAGTCTCCTTTTCTTAAAATTA